ATATGGGCTGTGCATAAATATTTGGGGCATTTGAGCCATTTGGGGGGCAAGAAGTATTTATGGGATCCCCCCCATGCCACCTCTGAGGCACTTCATTTGCCCCTTGCTAACGAAAGGGGCAACCACTGAAGGGAAAAAAAACAAACAAACAAACTAAAAAAATCAGTGTTCAGGGACAAATTTTTGCAGCTTTAGCTTGAATATCAAATGGCTGGTAGGCAAAGGGCTGTGCTGGGGGGACACACACACCACCCCCGTGCCCGCTCCCGCTCTGTGCAGGGGGACAGGGGCCAGATCCTGCCTCTGGTGCTTGCAGGACCAGCCCGTGCTCGTTTACCGTGTACAGGGAGGGGGCTAACGGGGTGGGTGCTCCCCCCCTTCCGAGCCGCGAGGCCTCCTCCTGCTTTAATTAAAGTGCAAAAGCGTGATGGAGGGGGAAAACTGAGGGAGCCCCCGGCACCCCGGGGGCAGTGCTGCGTCAAGGTAGGCTGATCGCAGCGGCCGGCGGAGCAGCGGGGATGGCCGGGCGCTATCTCCCTGCCAGGGACATTTCCTGCGTGCCCAGGGCTCCGTTCGGCCAGCCCGGCATCAAAGGCAGCCCATGGCGGGAGAAGACGATTAATCAGGGGGGGGTCGGGCTGAGCGCACACCAGATGGGCTGATAAAGCCGCGCGGAGGAAATGGTGCTCCTGAGGAACGCGACCGTGCCTGACCACCTCCCGGACCGAGATGCGCGGGCGCAGATAAATGGTCACCCCCAGCACTACAAAGAGCAGGAGCCCGACCCGGTGGTGTTCATCACCCCTTCCCGGGCACCCCAAAACCCCCCCGGGCAGCCCCTCGCCCAACTTCTCCCCTTTGCAGCCCAGCCCCTTCCTTTGCCCCCCGCCAGGCATCCCTGGGAGGGTCCCACAGCAATCCCACACTATATTTACTCTGTGGTCATTGCAGACATTTTTTTCCTCTCCCCTGTCAAACCTCAGCAAGAAAGTTTATCTGAATGCAAGTTCAAGGCTCTCTCTTATTTATCTAGGAATCAATAAGGGCCACATATTTCCCACAGTCCCCAGAGCTGGCGTTTAGAAAGGGACTATTGTCTGAGTAAGGCCTCGCACACCTGATTTGAACCAGGATAAGTCCTGCCTTACACCTGCGCCGGCACCGGGCACATGATAAAGGTTTATGGGCTGGGGGAAGTTGGGGCGCATCGGAGCCCGGCTCCTCCGCTCGACTCCAACCCGGGTTGATTCACCCTGGACACAACGGCAGCAGAGCTGGTGAGATGGTCCTGACCTTCTCAGCCCAGTTTGAACCCCAGTAGGATGCTCCCACTCTGATGAAGTCATCCCAGGGATGAGCATGACCTGGCTGGTACCACCAGGCGTTAGACAAAGTCCTCATCCAGCACAGCCAGACCATCACCCAAATCCCCACCACGCCTGCAATCCGCAAGCAGGTTTTTCAGTGCCCATGAAGGGGCTGGGACGGGGTTCTCGGCGCCCTGAGGCTCATCCTCAGCTGCCCCCGTGAGTGCTGCACAGGTTCTCTGCTACACCCTCCTCCAGCCCCATCTCCAGGGGAGAAACAGCCCCGCTCCACCTCCTCCTCACACCCACCCCTGCGCACCCTCGGCCACCTCTGCCTGGCCATTACCTGCTTACTGGAAGACATATTGGTCAGCGTGCTGATGCTGCTGGTATCCGTCACCACCATCGCCGAGGGGAAGCGGGAGGTGTGGGAATACTGGGGAGGCTCCTGTTTGTGTGTGTACACTGCGGAGAGGAGGGAGACAAGCAGCCGTCACGGAAAAGCCACCACAGCCCTCGCGCCGGGGCAGAGCAGCCGAGCGCCGCGGTACGGCAGGTCGCAGGGGTGCTGCATGGGAACGAGCATCACGGAGGCACGAATGCGATAAAATAAGCCACGGAAAGAACCCACCACCGGCCTCTAAGGTGCCACTTTCCCAGCTACCCGCTCGCCCAGGGAAACCAGCGGGGATTGAAGGGCTGCGGCTGGACCAGCCACCGGAGATTCTGCCACCCCTCCGCAGCCAAGCATGGCGCTGGAGCGGGGACGGGGCCGAGATGATGGATTAGCCCGAGGGGTGAATCCAGATCCCTTCAGGGCAGTGCGGGGAAGCGTTTGCTTTGCAGGGAGCCCGGCCACCTCCTTCCCCAAAGCGTGTGTTTTAGCCACAAGAACACGAAAAAATAAAAGTTTGTACAAAATGCTGGCAGGGGCTGCGGCCCCT